TTTTTTTTTTCTTTTTTTTTTTAAAGATAATTTTACCTTTATTTTCCAAGTGCTGCGTGAGGTCTTTATTTGTTGACATTTGACATTTCAAGTTTATAGATGTAAGTTTAAATTGGATTTTTTTTTCTTTTAATAATTAAAATAAAATGAAACTGAAATCTTTTTTCTTGTGTATATGAGCATTGGGTATAATTAAATCCTTGGATCAAATAGCAATGAGGATACCTTTTTTCTTTTTTACTTTAGATAAAACACTCATTAGTACTTTTTACTGGCTTGCTTGATTATTTTGTCCTACTGTGTAACAACTTTTTAATGTGAAACTTAATTGGATTTACAGAAAAAATGGATGACATCTATACCTTCTCAACTGAAAATTTGGATAGAGCAAATGTTGGAGAAGACGTATGTGATACTGAAGAGCTGTTGTTGGAGCTGCTTGAATCAGGGACTAGTGAGCAGGTTGAGATACAATCTTCTAGCGGTATGGTTGATGTTCTTGAGAGTAAATTAGCCGTGGGTACTGTTTGTCCCATTTTTGTGTCTTTATTTCATATTTATTTTTCTTTTTGTTTTTCCCCATTTGTAGGTTTTTCGTTGTTTATTTGGTCCGTTTTGTTCGTTTTGTGTTTTTCTCCTTAGTTTATAATTTTATGTCTTTTTGCCGTGTTTTGCTTCGTGTTTTTCTATGTTTGTGTTTTCAGGAGGTAGGTTGTGCCGGTCGAGGTTGGGACTGCTTGAGCCGAGGCCGTGATATCGAGAATACCCGTTGCCAACCAGAAGACTCGAGGAAGGACTGAAAAAACGGGCAGAAGCCGCGTCCAGAAAATTTCGCGACTCGCGACTCGGGTCGCGACTCACGAACATGTCGCGACCCACGAGAAAAACTGGGGCTAAAGGTGCAGTTACGAGCAAGAGTCGCGACTCGCTAGATGGAGTCGCGACTCGCAAGTTATGTCGCGACCAGACCCCAGGAATTGAACATTTTGACGACGCGCGACTCGCGACCGAGGAAAAGGCAATGTCGCGACTCGCGACTTTACCGGCACGAATTTCAAGGACGGGATTTCAACATCAGATTTCGGTCCTAAGGATTATTATTCAACTTTCAGACTTTATTTTTACGTTCTTTCTCTAGAGAAACTCATTCCTTTTCATGCTTTCTCTCTTTTGATTGGATTTGGAGATTGAAAAACTCCTCTTCTTTGCTTTGGATTTGGATGCACTTGGATTTGACATTGGATTCTTATCATTAATCGTAAGTTATTTTTCTCAATTATTTTATTGATGATGATGGCTTGGGTTTGTATGAATTTTGATGTTGAATTCCATATGAGTAGCTAAATCCATTCGCTAGGGATAGGGGATGATTGATTAGGTTCGATAATGATTGAATGCTTTTGATTGTTCATGTCTATTCGAGTTGTGTGAATTATAGGGTTAGTAGATTGATCACCTGTTTAACCTAGATAATCAACGTGTAGAACCGAGAGGGGAGACGTTGGTCGAATTAGGCTCGTTTAGAATAGATTTGTTCAGAAACGTATAATATATGTGTCGTTGGAATTGATAGTTGATCGTTAACGTTCACTCTCTTGTTACGAAGAGTTATTGAGAGTGAACCTCTGAACGAGAAACGATTCAAATCCTTTAACCGAGCAATTCATTGCCGGTAATTGTGATAGAACCGAAAGCAATTATCCCCGATTCCCTAGCACTTTAATCATTCAGTAAATTCATTTGCTATTTTACCTTCATTTTATTTAGTTTAAATCATTAGTTGATAATTGAAACCCAAAAATATTGAACTAGAGTGTTTAGGAATTTTTCTTCTCTTTTTTGTGATTGAATAAACGCACAAGAATATCCGGCTAACCTTCCTTGCGATATGACCCGGGGAACGAATCTTTTGATTCTACTCCGGTAAAAATACTGACAACAGGTACAATTGTTAATAGTATTGAAGATGCTTATTTGCTCTACTTTCAATATGCACATGCTAAAGGATTTAGCGTTAGAAAGGGCGATCAACGTTGTTTTCCCCGTAGTACTGAAATTCAGTCAAAAATCTTTGATTGTTCATGTGCTGGTGTAAGAGATGAAAAAAGTTCTAGTAAAAAAATTCCTATTTATCAAAAACCAATAACTAGAAATTCTTGTAAAGCACAACTCAAGATTAGGAGACCGAAAGGGAGAGATTGGCAAGTGAGTAAATTTGTTGTTGAACATAATCACGAAATGTTTGCTCCTGACCAAACACATTTGTTAAGGTCAGCTCGTAACATTTCTCATGCTAAAAAATCAACTTTAGAAGCAATGGTGAATGCTGGAATATCTGTTGCTAGTGTTGTTTCTTATATGGAGAATGAAGCACATGGGGCTGAAAATTTGGGTTTTATTAGAAATGATGCTTATGACCATTTTGGGAAACTAAAGAAGTATACAAAAATTGAAAATGGGGATGCCACTGCATTACTTCAACATTTTATAAGTAAGGCAAATAAAGAACCGTTCTTTTACTGGAATGTGCAGTTGAATGACGATGATAGAGTGATGAATTTTTATTCAGAGATTATAGGTGTGCGGTGGACTACGAGTACTTTGGTGATGTTTTGTCCATTGACACTACTTATAGAACAAATAAGTATAATTTGATATGTGCTCCATTCATTGGCATAAATCACCACAGGAATAATGTTTTGTTTGGCTTGGTTTTTATGTCGGATGAAACTCAAAGTTCATTTAAATGGTTGTTCACGACATTTCTTGATTCAACGAATGGTAAACAACCTCAAATAATATTTTCTGATCAATGCCAAGCCATGATGAATGCAATAGAAAATGTTTTCCCGAATTCACATCATCGTTTGTGTCAGTGGCATATAAACCAAAAACCCCTTTACACTTGGGGTGGGGGGGGGAGGGGATTTAAATGGTAATTCATCCTTCAAGGCTTTATGGTATAAGTGCATGTCTCATTGTGAATCTGAGGAAGAGTTTGAGAACACTTGGAAATTTATGGTAGATTCATATCATTTGCATGATCATAAATGGTTGAATGGCATGTACAAGCTAAGGAGAAAATGGGCTTCAGCGAGGAGCAACTGAAGATGAGGTGTTTTCCCGAGACACTGAAGGACCGGGCCAAGTCTTGGTTCATGACCCACGCACCGGACTCTCTCACTACCTGGACCGAAGTATACACGAAGTTCATTGGGAGGTACTACTCCCATCAGAAGACCCAGGAGCTCCGGACGCAAATCGTCTCATTCGCTCAACTACCAAATGAGCCTCTTCACGAGGCTTGGGAGCGGTTCAAGTATCTCCAGCGGCAGTGCCCTCATCACAACCTCTCTCCGGGGCTACTGATCAACTGCTTCTACGACTCCCTCCATCAGAACTTGTAGTATATGATTGACAATGCGGCAGGGGGAGATATTGGAGCAAAAATGGCTGGAGAGATGTTCGACATTTTTGAGACGATGAGCACGAATTCGTCGCAGAAGAGCAGCCGAGGGAACAGAGTGACAGTAAACGAGGTCGGGCAGGGCAACAATGTGATGGCCCGACAGTTAGCCGAGCTCACAGAGCAAATGCGTTTACTTAACGCACGAGGAGCTCAGTCGGTTCAGACCATGTCCGTTGACACGTGCGGGGCATGTGGAGTCCCAGAGCATAGATCTGAAGTTTGCCCTTCAGATTTCGACCAGGAGTTTGGTGAGCAGTATGCAGATGCTAGCACTTTACAGGGATACCAAGCCCAGCCTGGCAATGACCCATTTTCAAACACGTACAACCCGGGATGGAGGAATCATCGCGGCTTCTCCTGGTCTAACAACACGAACTCCCAGAAACTCCGTCCGAATTTCATGCAGCAGCATCCTCGACCCATCTTCATTCCCCATCCAAACTATCAGCAACGACAGCAGCCGAGGGGACCAGAAGCCGGGATGCAAGCACCGGGAGCAGGGCCGAGTTCATCTCTCCAGGACGACAAGCTTGATAAGATCCTTCAATTTACCACGAACCAAGATGCATCTATTAAGCGGCTTGAGACGCAAGTGGGCCAACTGGCCACACGGGTCAGCACCATCGAGACTGAATTGAACAAGGGGAAGTTGCCTAGTCAGCCGGAGCATGTGAATGCACTGACTGTGGTTTTGTCCGACATTAAGAGAGAAATCGTAGGCGACAAGATGAAAGAGGAAAAAGAGGACCGGAAAAAGCAAGAAACTCCAGTGACACCGCTGTCTGAGCCAACCTCACACAAATCTCCGAACCCATACAGGCCGAAGATTCCCTTCCTAGGCCGACTTTTGGAGGAGAAGAAAGAAAGAGACCCCGGTGGGTTTGTGATCAATATAGCTTTTGGGAGTGGAAAAGATGCTTTGTGGATGCTAGACCTTGGGGCAGGCATAAATCTAATGCCCTTCTCTATCTATCGGACACTTGGACTCGGCGATCTGAGGCCCACCAGGATACGTCTACAGCTTGCCGATCACTCGCTCCGTCTACCCGAAGGGATTGTGGAAGATGTCCAGGTAAGAGTGGGAAAGCTGATAGTCACCGTTGATTTTGTGGTTCTTGATATGGGGGATGTTAGAGAGAATAGGTATCAGCACACTATCCTCCTCGGACGACCCTTTATGGCGATCACCAACACAGTAATTGATGTAAAAAAGAGGACTGCAAGCATGATGGTGTTGGGAAAATCTACTTTTGTCTCCGCCCGAGGGTCCCAGCTTGAGCCGCCAAAGCAATTGTGGGGTCATGTCCATACCAACCATCACACTGCCCCCTCCAGGCCAAGTTCGATGGAGCTGCCTCGGTTCCACTGGGGAGAAAGATATGATTTGGCAAGCGTCCGCCGCTGTTCGGGGCCTGACTATCTCCATCCTCCGCCTGCACCACCGAATTCACAGTGACTGCTCTAGTCACTGTGCACTGTATGATTGTATCTATCCCTTTTTCTTTTTGCATTTAGGTTCAATTTCTCTATCTTTTTTTTTTTCTGTTGGTTAATTGAGTAGGTAAATGTTTCTAGCTCTGATCATCAACTCTTGGTTCATTGTTCGGTTTTTAGTGTTAGGAGTTTTTACATTATTAGGTGTTTTCATTATGTGTTTTCCTCCATATAAAAAAAAAATCAGTTTTTCGCGACTCGCGACATAGGTCGCGAGTCGCGAGTTACCCCATGAAATATGTCTGTCGATCGCAGTTTTTTCCATGACTCGCGGAACAGTTTCGCGACTCGCGACAGCGTCGCGAGTTGCAAGTTATCCCATGAGACATTGCTCCCGTTCTCTGTTTTTTCTGCGAGTCGCGAGTTAGGTCGCGACTCGCGACATACCTCTTGATTTAAAATAGACCCTTTCTCTTGTGCAGGTCATTCCCAATTTCTCTATCGCGATTCTGTTCCACTCTCGCGACCGAAGCCATCCACGACCCTTTCTCCTCCGTTCGCACCTCCGGCCATCACCCACCGGTGTTCTACTCCCTCCACCTCCAGCGACGAACCCTACCGCCGCAATTCCAACCTTACCTTCACCATCTCTCTCAATCGCCTCCAACAACAACAAGAACCCTAACCCCCAAATTACCCCTTCTCCAACTGCGAGCCTCGCCGGTGTTTTCTCCGGCCCGCCACCACCACCATTCCGACAACACTTCAGCAGCCACCATCTCTCTCCCCTCGTGACACCAACACCGCCCAACAGCAGCCCTCGACTTCAATTTCTTAGACCACCGCCCAGCACCACGCTCTGTTTCGATCTCCGACCACCATCGATTCCGGCCGCCGTGTCGCCGTCTCCGACCTCCGTTCAGACCTCCATCACCGTATACTTCATCAGACGCTCCACTCTCTTCACCGAAAACCAACGAGCAGTCCACCATCTCCGACCCCACAACTTCACGGTGAGTTCGCCCTCGGACTCTCCTTCTCGCGACAGAGCACCGCCGGCTCTCTCTCTCTCGACCTCACGACGGTACATCTGTCTCGCAGCTCCAACCACCGACCATATTCTCGAATGTCCAGCCCTCCGTTTATTCCGACTGCCCCTCGCTCACTCCATCGTCTTCAAGCTCGACACCATTGTTTCGAATTTCTGGGTAACCGTGATTCCTCCTCTTGTGCTTGCCGATATTCTGTTATTTGGGGTTGGTTGGTGCTGATTTGAGGTGAATATTGAAACGTTTGGGCTTCGTCATTCTTGTCTTCACTACACCTTCAATTTCGAGTTTTTGCACGTGAGGTGTTTGATATATTGCTCGAAAGAACTACTTTTTCAATATGGTGCGGAAAGGGGCCGGTAACAAACGTAAGAAGTCCGTCGAGGAGTCCTCTGCTTCTCAGAACACGCCGGTTGATCTACGGGCCAACTACGATGCCCCCTTTCTTATTCTGTCCGAACGAGAGGGGGAGGCTTATGCCCGGCTCGCGAAGAAGGATGTCTGGAAATCGAAGACATTCGACTTCGCTTTGCTCGCCGATTTGGGGATTCTAGAGACTGTCGAGTCCTACCTTGACGCGCTGCGATTGACGGCTTACGCCCGTTTGGTCTACCCGATGTACCACAACCTCACACTCGAGTTTTTCAGTACACTCGAGATGCCGATGACCGAGGACTACATGACGTGTCGTCTCCTTGGGGCAGAGAGGATCATCACTGTCGACATCATGGAAGAGATCGTGGGACTCTACATGGGCGGCGCACGGATGAATGAGGGCATGACTCCTAATATTTTCTAGCCCCAGCTTTCTCCCGACACGGTGTGGGATTCCCAGGGCATGGCTAATAGCCTCATCAAGGATGGTGTCGTCGCTGTGATGCACAATTTTTGTGCTATGGTGTGTTCGGGAAAAAGGAAGCCAATAAGGTCACTCAGATTGACCTCGTGCTCGGGAGAAAGCGCCGCGATCAGTTGGATATTTTTAAGGATGAATGTCGAGCCATCATTCGGAACAAGCGAGCAGCGGCCTGCTTTTGTCATATAGTGACCGCTTTGGCTTTGCACTTCAAGGTCGACCCGGTGACGTCTAGCAGCCTTCCTTCTAGTATGCGGTTCATTGACTACTACGAGCTCAGTCATGCGGGTCTCCTCTTTGATCGCCGCACCTTTGAGGTCTATTCGAAGCGTCCGGCCTACAGCACCTATATGAAGAAGGTGGCCGCGGCCGCCTCCGCGGCTGAAGCAAGCTCGTCTTGTCCTCAGCAGGCGACCGAGGATACCCACGAGACGGCAGATATGGAGCACGATCAGACTCTTATCGACGACGCCCATCTCCTTCCGCCTCCTGCTGATTGGCAACCGGACCCGGAGGCAGATTCCCGGGAGCCATGGCCCACGCGTTTGCCTCCGCGCCCAGCGGAGCCATCTGCACCGCCCACTTGGTGGTCCCAGCCTCTTCCGTGGTGGACGGCTTACGAGGACCGCTATGTTCGTGACATGCGGGACATTAATGCCCGCTTTCAGGCTATTGAGCTATGGCAGAGCCAGTGGGACGCGCGGTACGCACAGTGGAGCTCCGGCACCGGCCAGCCCTATCCTTCTCCTCCTTCTCCTCCTCATGGACCACAGTGACTTGTCGCTGTGTTGGTTAGCTTTTTTTTTTTTNGTGGACGGCTTACGAGGACCGCTATGATCGTGACATGCGGGACATTAATGCCCGCTTTCAGGCTATTGAGCTGTGGCAGAACCAGTGGGACGAGCGTTACACACAGTGGCGCTCCGGCACCGGCCAGCCCTATCCACCTCCTCCTCCTTCTCCTCCTCATGGACCACAGTGACTTGTCACTGTGTTGGTTAGCTTTTCTTTTTCTTTTCTCTTTATTTTGTTTCTCTTTTGTCTTTTCTCTTTGTTGTGTCTTGTCGGTTGATTGTGTCAGTACATCTTCCTTTCGCTGCGGATCGACAATGGGGACATTGTCTGATTTTCAGTGTGGGGGCGTTTATGTGGCTATATGATTGACCAGGTCGAGTTTTTCTTTGTTTTCGGGTGTGTTTTATTTCTTTCTTTTGCTTGTGGACCAGTCTAGTGTAGGATTTATGTGTTTTGAGTCTGTACTTGAAAAATTCATGGTGAGTTAAGATGTGTTCAATGGATTCAATGAGTTGTGATGTTGGCATGGTATGGCATAGCGTGATGAACTGCTTGGTTAATGGCTTTGATTGACATTCAGATATTTGCCTAGTGAGGTTTGAGCCTTATTTCTTTCTTGAGATACATTGGTCATGCTCTTGTTTGATTAGAACTTGCCCTGAGTCTGCATCGAAATGAATCAATCTGAGTTGTGAACTGTGAATATGATTAAGGCATTTTTTTGTATCTTTCTATCCTTATTTTTTTTTCTGCAGTTATTCCCTAGTTGCCCTTTTGAG